GGCTCTTTATTGATGTTGGTGGCTGCCTCCTCTCTGTGTGTAGGGGAGGGGGGAGGCATATCTCTGTTATACTGTGTCCTGTGTACCGTCACCCTGTAGTGTGAGGAGTACTGTGCGTGTGTGGTAGAGGTGATGCTCGAATTGTGTCTCTTGTGTACATTCACCTTTACTGAGCTTTGATGTGTGTGTGTGTGTGTGTGTGTGTGCTCGTAGGTAACTGTCTCAGGTATTCTGATGGTTATGACGTCATGTACTGAAGTAAACAAACTTTCTATGACCTAACCTAACCTACCTACATTTACGTACTTATCTAAACTATATTAACCAAACCCACGTAAGTATCTAGCCCATCTAACCTAACCTAATCCAATTAACCTAACCTAACTAACTAACTACTTTAACCAAGCTACCTAACAATCAAACCCAACCTACCTGTCTAACCTAACCTAACCTAACTAGTGACAATGTTTCAAGTGATTCATTGTTGAAGTGACAAGTAGTTACAGTGATGGAAGTTATGGTGGAGGCTGTTAATGTTACAGTGGCGTTACAGTGACCGAGGGGTTATCTCGACCTATAACAGTGACTTTATGGCCGATACAGTACCTTAAGATAACTGAGAAAGACACAAGATACAATACATGAGACATTACAGTGACTAGTATAGACATGTTACATTAACTAGTATAAACACGTTACAGTAACTAGTACGTATAGACATGCTACAGTGACTAGTATTTACATGTTACAGTAACTAGTACGTATAGACATGTTACAGTGACTAGCACATACATGTTACAGTAACTAGTATAAACACGTTACAGTAACTAGTACGTATACACATGTTACAGTGACTAGTATTTACATGTTACAGTAACTAGTACGTATAGACATGTTACAGTGACTAGTACATACATGTTACAGTAACTAGTATAAACACGTTACAGTAACTAGTACGTATACACATGTTACAGTGACTAGTATTTACATGTTACAGTAACTAGTACGTATAGACATGTTACAGTGACTAGTACATACATGTTACAGTGACTAGTATAGACATGTTACATTAACTAGTACGTATACACATGTTACAGTGACTAGTATTTACATGTTACAGTAACTAGTACGTATAGACATGTTACAGTGACTAGTACATACATGTTACAATAACTAGTATAGACATGTTACAGTGACTAGTATTTACATGTTACAGTAACTAGTACGTATAGACATGTACAGTGACTAGTACATACATGTTACAGTGACTAGTATAGACATGTTACATTAACTAGTACGACATGTTACAGTGACTAGTATTTACATGTTACAGTAACTAGTACGTATAGACATGTTACAGTGACTAGTACATACATGTTACAGTAACTAGTATAGACATGTTACAGTGACTAGTACATACATGTTACAGTAACTAGTATAGACATGTTACAGTAACTAGTATAATGTTACAGTAACTAGTATAGACATGTTACGGTAACTAGTATAGACATGTTACAGTGATTATACTACACCTGTTACGAAGAAGTCCCGGTTACAATTACAAAATATGGTGTTAGTAATTAGTGTAGTGCCAGTCAATGAGTCGTAACTAGGATTTCCGTACCTAAAATAACTTGTAGTAGCCACTAATAATTAATTACTAGCTGAGAATCTTACAGTAACTGAGGTCCTAAAATGGCTACACTGAATCTTTATTAATTTTATTTTGAATTGCATTTAGAAGTTAGGATGATCATAATTATTATTTCCAGTACCTTGTATAATTATCATAATGGACTAGGGTACATAACTTTGGTATATAGATTATGTTTAAATATCACAATCTTATCTTTAGAAAGCAAACAAATTTATTTTATTTATTTCATTTACTTATTTGTGTCTTCAAAGAAAACTATGACTAATACTGTATATATTTAACCTTGAATTCGAAAACGCAAATAAATGTTTACGTAAAGATCATTATGTGTTCAAATAGAAAAATATTTTTACCTAATAACTTTTATTGATATTAAAATACGCTACAAATACTTGCAAGCAAATGGGAACGTGGAATTTTCGTCTTGATGTAAATTTCAAATATTTGTGAACGCAATGGTTCTTCTGTGATAAATATCGAAGAACTGTCGAAATATTCTTTTATTACATTCGAAAAAATCAAATTCAGATGACGGAAGATAATGTTCATGTGAAGCTCTATTTTTATTGTTATAATGCTATTGTTACTGTTATTGTTATTACATTCAAAAGCGATTTGGGTAATCCATGCAGTGTTCGCCGATTTTAAAATGGAAAATCTCGCCTGGTATCCATGGTGCGGCCATTATACGTATCTGGCATAAGCCGGCTATCTGTTACCTTTTATTGTGGCCTCTAAATTACTCTCTTTGCTGTGCATAGCGGAAAGGTCATAACCAGTACCAAGAACAATAAAGTACTACTGTATACATTATAAATGTAATGGGCAACCTTGGCAACCTTCAAATACTAATGACGTTTTTAACGTGTTTATGTTAAGAAAATATTAAGTACCAACTCATCAGGGGTACAATTAATTCAACAATACTGGGATTAGTGCAAAATTGACCGAAAAAGTTTTGGGTGCTAAAATGTTAAAGATTAACTGTTAAACAAGAACAGGGGAGAATATGCGAGAATAACACAAAGATCAGTTCATAATTAAATGAAAAGTTTGGAGGAATATAGGTTATCTACTCTGCGTGGGTAATATGCATGTACGTGGGTTTGTGTGTGTACAGTGTAGGTGTGGTAGGACTGTGGTGGTGCGTGGCGGCACGTGCGGCGCGGGAGGCAGCGCGGCAGCGTCTGTGGGGAACATCTGCTCCACAGGGTAACACACCCACAGTTGCCAGCTCGTGCCTTCTCTCCCCCCACATGCTACAAGTAAAGTGGGCTGTTCAGAGTTGATCTAATAATGTATAATGGCAAGTGGAATACTACATACAAGCTCTTATAAAATGGAAATGAGGATCCTGCAAATGCCTGGGTAAAATTTATTATATGGAGCTTGGCATTGGGAGGTCCCACTTAATATCGGAGAGAGGGGAGCGAACATCACAATGATATCATCATGCAGATAGTTTGACCACCACCTAAACTACGTGCAAATCGATGAACTGTTATTTTAATGAAAACGGACACACCCACATTTTTATTTTTCTGGAAATTCTTGCACACCAAATGCACGTTTTAACCGTAGTATTTGTATTTTGTAAAAAGAAAGTACGAGTTATTGATGCATTAAGACGATATTTTGAGTGTAAGATGGACATAGATACGAAATTTTAGGAGCAGTAACACCTGCCAAAGATTTGGTGGCTGGCTAGAACTGCCAACGTCAGGGGGATTTAGCCCCTGGCCAGAGATGGGCAACTCAGCGCTCCTCTAGTTGCCAGTTACCCCAAATCTTCCAACCGTGCTATTACGACATTTGATACGACTTAAAAGGCATAATAGTCTCGAAAATTATTTGAGTAAGGCAGTCACCTGAATGTAATGGTTGCGGGGCGGTAATGGTGGCCGTTTATTGCGGGTGGCGCTTGGAAAAACTCCACGGGCAGCGGACATGGAGGGTGGTGCCAGGGAGTGGGGGAGCTGAGTGGACCGGTAATTAGGTTGTGGGCCGAGCCAGAGCAAAAGTGTCGCCCCAGTTTTGTCTTATGGCGTGCACCAGCCACTCTGCACCTCGCAACATCCAACTCTCTCCAGCCCAACCTGTGTTTTATCTCCCCGTGGCTGATTGAGACGCGTACTCAGATAAACATTCGTTGGCAACTAAGAGCTGGATTTGGCAGCCAACACCTGTCATTCACAATTTTTATGGACTGTTTATAAACGAGTGACTCCATTATTGTTATTCGCATATTCCGTGTGAAATTTGGCAATCATGTAAGAGATAGTCAGCGGAAAGTGAATTATTTAGTATACTGTTTAAAGCTTTGTTTGCTGTGATCTTTGTAAATTATAAAATTGGACAAACTGGTTACTCTTGTGACTGAAGCAGCGTGTTTGTCATCTCGGGCAACGTCAGGTAGAAAGGCATCACCGGGAGTGGGCTCTCTTTTTCCCGAAATATCTCGCTCTTTAACGCTGGTAAGTTTTGAAAACTGATGTATTAATATATATTGACGTTTCTACAATACCAGGCTTACACTCGGTCGAGTTTAGTGTTATGTGTTATCTGAAAATTGAGTTTGTAAGTCTTTGGATATTGATTGTGACCTGCTGGGTCAGGCGACCACATCGGGGCCTAGACACAGTTGCCAAAAGCTATTTTTTCCTTCAGAAAATTCTTTGCAGTGCATATTAGAGTTATGCTGCATTTTTGACGTTGTGCATATGGAGTTACAAGACCTGTGTGTATGATATTTGGTTACATTTGAAGACGATGACCTCAGTATGCGGGATATTAAAACAAGTGGAGTCATCAGCACCAATCACTCAGGTTGTGCTTGATCCGGTGTGTCTGTCGGCCAGAAGGGCACCTCCGGGTTGGATGCTCCCTTGAAGTTAACGGTATTTATTTAACCAAATAATCAGATTTTTCGTCATGAAAGGTGACCTTCAAGTGTAAGTGTACATTAACCTTCACTTTGCTGTGGGTTCAAAACACATCACAAACGAAAATTATTGTAGTTCTTAACAAAGTTTTATGAAACTAACAAAAGTAATTTTTGTTATAAGTAACTATACGAAATAAGTTTTTACCATAACGAATGTATAGTTATAAGTTCATGTTCATCTAAATTATAACTTACTTTTGATTAGGTAAGATTTCCCTAAAGTTTAAATAGAGCTAGTTAATTGGAGTTGTTGAAAGGCACCGTGGTGGGTATATGCTCAGGATGTGTTAATACACGTAGTATTTGAATCAGGGTTTCAGTTTAGTTTACTAAAAAGTTCACATATTTTTGCGCACAATTTTTTCCCAAGATTGCGCACCTCGGGTCTCTACTGTTTCCTCTTTGTGATCGTCGATAGCAGAAAGAGTGCGATCAGCCGGCAAGGTAAACAAACCCTATTTAAGCTATTTTCCGGTGATAGAACGCTCTTTATAGCAATTACAGACAATAAAACAGCTTTACTGTATATAGATCATTGCCCCGAGAAGGTAGATAACGCCTTTTTTCTCGCGGAAGTTACAGAATAATAGGGAGATAATTGTGTGACAGATGTGCTTGACTGACTTCGTCTTCGTCAGCGAATGTTTTGGTCATTGGCTTTGGCTAATGTAACACGTCTGGTGGACTCCGCTCTCCCCGCTAGTTCTCTCCTCCAACCCTCAATTTTAGTCTTCTCTTGATTGCAAGTGGCGAGTATTCCAGTTACGAGGTCTCTATAAGATTAAGAGCTCTCCGCTAGTTCTCTCCTCCAACCCTCAATTTTAGTCTTCTCTTGATTGCAAGTGGCGAGTATTCCAGTTACGAGGTCTCTATAAGATTAAGAGCTCTCCATTTTTGGTAATATTGGCGAAGATTATAAATTAATAGATGAGATAAATGGTGGAATGATGCGAGGTGAGGTGTGAGTAACGTGCTGATGCTACCTTCAACGCACTTGTGTTAACACTTGATTTGTGATGGAGAGTGTAATCCCAGTGATATCCTTTTGAGATCTAGAGCTCATGTGTTAATGAAGGTAATGGCCATACATGAAGGTATAAGGTACAGACAAGTATCATGATCCTAAAACTTGTCTTTAACACAATAATTTAATCTATTGACTACAAGTAGTGAATATTCCCTGAACAAAGTCTCAGTGAAGTATGAGCTTTTATTTTGTGTTAATGTTGGCAAAGTTTATTTATTATAAAGTGAAAATAAATAATGAATTTGTGAAGTTTGAATACCATAATGAGTTAGTGATGATAGTCCAGCCTCAGACACACTTATTGTAGCGATTCTTGATTTCAATTGGTGAGTAGTCCAAGAACAAGGACCACTTTAACCTTTGGAATTTTATCTTAGCCTATACAAGAAGTTGTTGCAATTGTTGAGATTCATTTACAACCAAAGCGTGGTATTTTGTCTCCCTACGCTATATTAGTGTTTACTTCTCCGCCACAGTGGTACGGTAAGTAGTTCCGTGACACCGTTTACTGGTATTGTTTGCTAGCCAGGAAATGAGAAAAAAATTATGTAAACTGGTTTGATTTCAGTAGTGATACACAATTAACATGCTATCTGATTCTTAACTTGAATACTGTATTACTGATAATGGAATGGTTCATTTCTGCTAAACTTAGACTAGTTAAGTGATGTTTGTTTTCATTTGCTAGGGTGCTGATGATCCTGCAGATGGCTCCATTGAATGGCATCTTGACACTGTGCTGTTGTGGCTTAGATGTAAATATTGGCATGGGACTGGGAGGAACAATTACACGTTCAGGTTGTCATCGACTAGTTTTTTGCGTCAATCCCGTTGATTATAATAATTTTATAAGAATAATTCAAATTATGATGGATAAATTGGTGTCAATGATGGAATTGATTAAGTAAGAATTTAAACTCTTATGCTTGTGTTAATACGGTATTGGTGTAGATCATGTCTTTAGAAATGAAGATGGGCTGTGACAAACATGACTTATTAAGCTGCTGTGAATATAATATTTTGTTTCGCAGTGAAATTATTTGTGGTTTTGAATATGCATTGGTTATGGACTTGATCCATCTGCATTACTTCCCAGAGTATTGAATGTAGAAATTTGTGGAAATGGTGAGGTAGAGTCACGGAACTGATTTTGTGTTTTGGTCTTGGAAGCATTCAGTAGGTTTAGGCTAGCTTGGATAGGTTAGATTTGGTCTGGGAGGGAAAATTTACATCCAATCTGTAAATCGCAGGTATCCCCTAGAGCCAGAATAATTAGTGTATTCTGTGGGAGTTAAATGCGTTTAGGAATTCCAAGCCTGTTTGATTCCGAGGCATGTGCTCACCTATGTTTATAAAAAGTATTTATTGAGTGTATAATGAACGGGTTTCTTATGAACCATACATCACGACATTTCTTTAAATGGAGTGGTTATTTGATCGGGTAACCCGGCCGATTAACCATTGGCTGTTTGACCAGGACCCGCAGGGTTTGTGTATGATTTTAATGGAATTCTAGTCAGGATGGCTGTGGGTAATTATTCTAGTCATTCCATTTTAACTATTTACATGTTGAATGCTTTATTACCATCTTCTTTAATTGTCTTCTGATACTCGGACATGTCCCATTTCTTTCATGGACATATATAATATAGGTTAGGTTAGATTAGGTCAGATAAAAATTTTTGAGGTGTATAACTGACACTGCTTAAACAGTATCATAATTGTTAAACATTGAGGTGTGGCCTTCATAACAAATTGATTTAGAATTTAATCTGATTTAAACTTCTCTGTATTCTTAATTTTGCATAGTATATTATTTCTATTTGATTTATTTTTTTCTAATAGTTTGAAATTATCAGTAAAATAATATGTATAATTTTCTATGGCCAGAAGTACAGTACTTAGTTATATTTTAGATCCCGGTCAAATAATTAGTGGTTATTCAGCTGGATACTGGTCAAATAACCCCTGCCTATTTTAAACTCAGCTCATTGGTAAAGTTGTGCTTGTTATTGATAATGTGATTAGATTTTTCATATTTTTGGGGGAACAGTGAGAATATAATTAATTGCTTTATTATAATTGAAATGTGAAGTATTTAGGTTATGTTAGGCCTACACATCTGTTGGTATTAAAAAGCTTCAGATATATAAATATGAACTAGGTTTGTCTCATCAAATTGAGGTGAATGGATAAGGAATACAGAGGTTCCTATGGAAGTACAGTACAGTATTGATGATCCTTTTGATCTAATTTTTTGTGAACATGGTGAGAAAATATTCTAAATGTTTGAATGTCTGTCAACATGCATGTTGCATTATTAAGGTGGGAGGGCTCCTAGTCTACATATGATATTCATTAGCCAAGTTAAATTTGAATTTTTGTTTGATTGTGAAGGTTAGTAAAATATTACAAAAACTTGTTCTGTACGTTAAGGCAGTGGGTCCCAACCATGTACAGTTGCGGAAATGTGTTCCAACACCTCTTGAGGTAACCCGTGTCTCCAAATGGCCAACCTATATGACCTATAGTAAACCTATCCACCAGTCACATCCGTCGTTACATGACCAATACCCATTCATTCATAAATAGTGATACTTGTACTACTACTGTGATTGTGCCATTTGGAGACACAGGTCATCACATGGGGTGTAGGAATACATTTCCACAACTGTACCAGTTCCGGTGCTGTCAGATTTTTTTTACATGCTGCTTATTTTTAATAATTTCTTCGTAAAGTAAACTTTGTGATCTTTAACAATAATACTGTGCTCAATGAATCTGTATAGGTTTGTTTATATTTTTTAATATCTGGCAACTGTCAGCTGACTCTTGGGTGGCATGACAGATGATAATTTACTCTTTAGTTTATCATTACCTTTTGTAAACTATAATCAGAAATGCTGTAAAATGATTCTTAAAAGACTGTTTGCTCTTGTACATACTGTAATGTAGCTTAACTGCTGAACTGTTGTCAGGGTTTAGTGAAATAAATGTCTTGAAGGCATTTTTGGTGTATCTCTTAAGGCTCCAGTCCTGCACCCCATTTTCCTCATTGTAATTTTTAGAAATATATATCGTAAAAACAGTTCAGTTAAGTATTTCGCTGTACTGTAACACTTAGTCCCAGTCTCATAAAATACCATGAGTACTTTATATGGATTATACAGTACAGTACAGCCACTCCGTGACTTATGACCTACTCGACTTACGACCACCCGGACATACGACCGCTCCAGTCGTACCAAAATTTTTTTCAAATTACGTATCTTCGAGTCTCGACGTTAGTGATTGCACTGTGTACTGAAAATATTTTCGTTTGTAATTCCCTTTAAAATGGCTGGCAAGCTTAAAAGTGAGGGTTTTGTGGTGCTGAGACGAAAAAGAGACCCATTTTAGATTTTATATGTATTTTCGCATTTTCGACTTACGACCTGGATTTGGGTCCCTAACCCTGTCGTAAGTTGAAGAGTGGCTGTATATGTAAATTGTGAATATGAAATATTTACAATTACTGTACTGATCTGCATAATTTTTTTCATTCTGCTGGTCCATGAAGTTGAAAAGTTTGAGAACCACTGCTTAGGCATACCGTACAGGTATTTTGTTATCATAAGTAGACTTAGAAGGGTATCCCAAATTGGGTTATGTTTGTAATATATCTTGTATGCCAAAGCTATTTTTTTAAGTTGATTGTGGCAGGTCATTTTAGATATGACAAGAAGCTTTTCTGGTTGAACATCATTAATAAGGTCCTTAGGCTTCACGTTTTTACTCCAGTGACCAATCACAGACCCTTTGTGTAAAGAAGAGAGGGCCTTTACAAGGTCCCTTACTTAGCTGCAATGAAGATAGTAGCTGGTTAAAAATTATCTACTAGGTTGGAACCCAGGTGTAATGTAAGTTGAAACCCGGCACCTATCTTTAATGAGAAGAAACGTGAGAGCAGGTTGAAGGGGGCCAGAGGATCTAAGGAGATTGGTTAATATGAAAGGTTCTGTAATGAGATCCTTGTGAGGTTTTTGGAAGGTGAAGAAGTCTCTTGGTAACTTGGCAAAGTGGGGTGTTTTGTGAATAGGGGAAAAATCTAGGTTCATTCCTAAGGGGATCAGTGCCCCCCCCCTTTAAGATCTCCATTTCTTGTAGACAGTGTGTATGAGTATCTCCTGTTGTGGAAGTACCAGTAGACAACCTCATTCTTTATACTGTACTCAGTACAGTACCTGTATTATGATTTCAGATTGAATTGGTCTTCAAACCAGATTCAGAGAGAGGCTGGTCCAATTTCCTTGGGACCTCCAGGGCACTTTTCATTGGTGCGAGTCAACTTTTGGCTTTCCTTCCTTGTTTCCTGAGAGCCTTTAGGTGACTTCATATTTTGATAGATACAGTATTCCTAGTATAGAATGGGGTTTTT